CAGAGCCCCTTTGATCTTGGGGTCAGGGGAAGGTCTGTGCCCAGCACTGCTTCCCCAGCCAGCAGCTCCACCAAGATCTGACCCAGATGGTGCTGCTGGGACAGAGCCCTGCCATGCTTGGGGACAGCCCAGCCCAGCCCAGGCAGCACCATCCATGCCCAGGCCATGCCCAGGGTGTCCCTGCACACCACTCACTTCTCACTCCCTTCCAGCACAACAAAGGAGAGCAGCAGCCGAGTAAATCCATGTTGGGTGTTAAATTAGATTATGCCCGGGTTGCCTGGATACTGTGTAATCACTGCCATGACCAAACACAATTTAATACAGGGTAATTGGTAGCCAAGGTTCAGTGCAGGGGAAGCAGGGAATAGTAAATGTTCCAGTGTGGTTGGAGCTCCTGTGGGTGCCACAGGGGCTCCTGGCTCTGCTCCCACAGAGCTCCTGCCTCCCATGTCTGGAATTACTTCCTACATGTATTTTATAGATGTATTTATATGTATGTAAAAACTACCGTGTGTTTATTTTATATATAAACACGTATTTTATATATAGAATGCGTGTATCTGAATCTCAGCCAAAAGTGCCATTATTAGTTCAAATATCTTCCCTGATTCAGAGCAAAACTCCTGAGCAAACAACCATCTGAAGGGAACAAAAGGAAAGTCTGGAGTGTTTCTATTTCCATGACTGGGACAAACATTTGCAATCAAAGTGCTTGTTGTGGCTGGCCTAGCAATTCCTCATAGGACAGCAAATAATGCAGCTCATTCCTCTTGCTACAGGTGAAAATCCATCCCCTGTCTGCCACCACCACAAGAGCATCTGTTTAATGTGAAAAGCCAGTCACACAGCCAGCCAGCCCCAAAATTATTGAGGCTGCTCTGGGCAGTTTGATAGAAATTGAACACCTTTGACTCTGGGCATAGAGGGAAGGTAAAAGGCAGAGGGAGCAGAGGCAGCACAGTGGGTGGAGAGGCACTGTGGCACCAGAGCCACCAGCCTGGCTCCCATAAAGGTATCTGCAAAACTCATGGAATCATTTAGGTGGGAAAAGCCCCCCAAGATCATTGAGCCCAACTGTTCCCCCAGCACTGCCAAGGCCACCACTAAGCAATATCCTCAGGTGCCACATCTGCACAGTTTTAAATCCCTCCAGCAATGGTGACTGCACTGCTACCCTGGGCAGCCTGTGACAGGGCTGGACAACCCTTTCAAGGAGGGAATTTTCCCTAATATCCAACCTGAACCTTCCCTCCTGCAACGTGAGGACATTTCCTCTTGTCCTGTCACTTGTAACCCAGGAAAAGAGGCTGGCTCCCACTCACTTGCCTCCAACCTGCTGTCAGGAGCTGTGCAGAGCCACAAGGTCCCCCCTGAGCCTCCTTTTGTCCAGGCTGAGCCCCTTCCCAGCTCCCTCAGGTGCTCCTGACCTTCCACAGCTCCCTTGTGTCTCTGTGCTGCTCCAGAACTGCCCTGGGACAGCACAGCCCCTGCCTGGGGAGGCTCAGCAGGGCTGGCCTTTGTGCAGCACACACAGCTGGGACCCCTGCCCTGGCAGCCCCCACTCACAGCCGTTAACCTCACCAGGAACGGACAGACAGACGGACACAGCAGCCTGAGCACACACTGCTGGGGGCATTTGTGGGATACAATCCACAAATTGTTGAGTTCTGGGGGATGCTCCTGGGTGCACTTTGCACATTACTGGGTTTAACTGGGCTGTGACTGATG